CACAGCATCATCTTTGATTGGCTAACAGTCGGATTTTTGATGGGTATTTATTGCAAAGATAGAGAGCAAAAGTTCGAGAATTTCAATCAAAGGCGTAAGCACCAGTTTTAGCTGAATACCTCTTGCACTGCCCTGTTAGTCCTGTGTTAAATTTCGTGTCCAGGAAACTGCCATTTGTTCCAAAAAGGAGTGGAGAGTGAGACTTACGACAACTATCAAAGAAAGAGGGAAGCTTTCGAATTCTGTTGTGTCAAAGAGGAATTTTGAGCTCTGTTTCAGTTTCATACCCTCACTCAGCTAAACACGGAAAAACTTAAAGACTATAAGCTTTGAAAAAGGGAATAAAATTCTTCAGTTTCAACATTTCTCGGGATAGGGTGTTTGACACTAGAAGGAGGAGAGCCTGGCGTTAGCCGGGCGATCCGACTGGTAAAAAGATAAAGTCCTTGACGTTAATCATCCCGTCTGAGGGATGCGCCCTCGCACTCGACTCCCATTCAGAATGGTAGTGGCGTAACGAGTGCGTATGTGGCCTATACAATGACTTGCGGTGGCCAGCCGATGTATAAAGCGTATGTGGCCTATACAATGACTTGCGGTGGCCAGCCGATATACAAGACAGCGCTTTTATCATCTCGGACAAGTTTGGTGGCAATCAAAAAACTCCATACAAATGAAAGCAGGAACGGGCATCGATCCGGGAATCGTACTCTAACCATGCATGAGTGATCGTGCGCCATTTGCTACTACACAATGTCTGTCCTTTCCACAAAGTCATTCGAGCAAAATAGGTAATCTCACTAAATTTGGATTCGATTAGAAAGGCGAGTGCGACTTGAGGAATGTTTTGGTGAATAGCGATTCTGCATACATATTGTTGACACGAGTTCTTTATAGTCGTCATGTCTAATCACCCCGGCAAATGGTGGGAGTTAGGGAGAAACAGGAAGAAGACTAGGTGATGGTGGCCCTGAAATTCCGACACTACTCTGTTGTCGCTCTACTCAGCAGTCGCTTAGATAACCTTTCCCGGCTTATAACCAGGGTGTAGATAGGCATACCTATGACATATCAAAGTCCTTCAACCCATACCGCCTTCGTACAGCCGTCTTTCCTAGTTCTTGTTTCAAGCCCTTACCCTTCTCATGGAACGAACCTTGATAATGGAGAAATGAAGATGTCTGTTGAAAGCCTTCTTGATGTTGCTCACATTCTCCACTTGCGCTATTCCACGGACACTGATCTGTTTGCGACGGTCATAATCGGTCATCATATTTGCCCTGCAAATGAACGCTGTGATTACTCCCGATCATTTGCTTTTTTCGAGTTCGTTTAAACATTGAGAAGTCAAGTATTATGAGAGGAGGTAGACAGACCCGGCTGAGAGAGGAAAACGAAGTGTAAAAGTTTACAAAAACACTGGGCAAAAGTGCATTTTGTGAGCGACTGTTAGCGGTCTGTCCAAGAGGGAAGGCTGTAATCAGGGGAAAGAAGAGAGAGAGGAAGAAATCAGATAAGAAAAAGTCTGCCGCAGAAAGTATCGCTTTACAGTTGGACCCCACAAAAACACTCGGGGAGCGCCCATATGTAAATTGATTGCAGAAAGAAGAAAACAATCCCGAATCTGGTTGCAAACAGTAGGTAGTACATGCAAAACAATAACAGTAAGGAGTGATTAGGAGTAGTGAAAAGACCTTCGCGGTCATTAAAGCGCTTCATGCGGACAAAACGATAGCGCGATGGTGAAAGTATCCGCTGCCACCCATTTCGTCGAAAGATCACCAAACAATTGATCGTGGGAGGGAGACTGACCGACAGTAAACGCGGTGCGTTGCTTACAACACAAATTTGAAATGAAGGGATAAGTCCGTGATACTTAGAGGTGTAGGAGATGAAAGCAAAGAGGATGGTGCATGTTACTGGGTGAGCGTCCGAGACACTCGAAATGTGTTGGACGAGTCTGGCTGGAATCGATTCGCCGACTCGTCAGGCAGCCATTGCTCTCGACGATACAACAATAAGACTTGTGCACCTTCAACCGACAGCCGACGCGAAAAAAGAGCACTGACAAGATCCGAACAGGCACATTATGTAAAATAAATCTTTTGGACTCACAATTAGGCAGTTCTCTGAAGAGATCGTCAGAGAGGACTTGCAGAAGAATACTGTGGCGTGCATGTCTAGCGGCAGTCTGGCCCGCATTCATAGGAGATTCAAAGTGAAAGGCCTGCTAGTGATCTAGGTTCTCTCTTTTGTGACAACTTTTACACTCCACGGTTGGGGATAAGAAATGAATCGGCTTTCTGGAATATCCTGATTTATGGCTTGCACTTGGAAAATCAACGGCAAGAGCTTCGCCACCTTCGATATGAAGGAGGGGGGGGGGGGGGGGTGAGGAAAGATACAAACAGCACATTGAAAAGAGCCGAATCCGGAAGACATGGGTTGCTTATTTGAATCAGTTGGTGTTCTCTATGTGAGCGATCCATCTATAAAAAATCACGACCTAACCCACAGCAAGCCTAAAACAGCCGAAAACATTCTGGAGATGCGCTGGCTGATGGGGATGCCTGGATGATCTCAAAACACTCGGATAACTTCTCATGCGAGTTCAAAGCATGAAAGTAAATGTGTAATTACTACGAAACAATTTCTTAGTTCGGTTCTGGAAGACCTAGGCTACGTGAAAACTAACGCGAAGAAGCGATCAGAGGAAGGAAGTGGGACTTATGGTAAGTGCTTGCAATGGGCGTTGTGCACTGTTGGTGGGCGCGTCCTTATGCTGTTTATGATTTCACCGATGGCCAAGAATCGGAAAAAATAGCGGCCGCTGGCAGAAAAAAAGACGTTTACGCCACCGAGGCAAGCTTGGACCGCTTCACCTACAGTTACCTAACAATCTTCGGTTCAAAGGCAGCAAACAGACATGAAGAATGTTAGCTTTATTTCTGAGTTGTCAATGTTGATTCAATGTTGAATACATGGTGTAAAAATACCTCAATTATAGGTAAATTTCGTTTTTGTGTCGCACTAACACCGCGGAAACTATGTACCCTACTACCTGGCGAAGGGAAAAATAATCGCTTAGAAGGCATCTATTTCAAGCTTAATGAGTTTCTAGGGAGGCAAGGAAGAGCAAAGCTATACGGAATAATAGCATACTGCTTCAGAGCCTTAAAATGACCAGCGAGAAAGCCTTTGGCTTCTTGTCAGCGACGGTCGGTAAGGCGATGTTTACATTGTTCGGAATGATTGAGTTCAGCAGAGGGGAGTGAATCTATGAAAGGCGAGTTTGGCCCTGATGGAACAATGTCGCCTTAAGTGAATGCCAGGTCCGAGCTGAAGTTCATCCCCATTACATTTGTGGCAGAATCAGCTAGAAAAGTGAACAAACAGCAGAATGCCTCGTCCAGCAGCAGAAATCCACGCTGGTTCAGGTCTTAAGCGATTAGTCGCTACTTAGACTCGTTCATGGTGACGTCGATCTGCTATGAGGGAGCTGAAGGCGAACAGTCATGATTGCCAATCATTAACAAGAGGAGCGACTGAATGACAGTATCAACAATTGAGAGTTTTTGACCAAGGTCACCCTCAGCATTTCGCTGAAGACTGGTTTACAGAACTTATAAAACTTGATTGGATAAACATTAATAGTCTGTGGATGACGGAGTTTTGCAGAAGTTGGATCATTTCTGATCCTACTGGCAATGGTAATTACGGTAATTACAAATATCACAGTTATCATCCACATAAGAATATTTATTCCCAAAAGGGTGATCGATGAGCTTCTTTTGTGGATTACACCGATACACCATCATACATTACTTCCACGGTTTTTCTATTTTGTTTGTACTTTTACATGTAATCAAGCATCTCCATCAGCATCTTGATAAATCATCAAGTGGATAAGCAAGTAAATGAATAAACAAATGGATAACAATCTAATAAACAAGGCAATAAAGATATAGCGTAACAATAGGCTATCAGAGGTTTCAGTATGAATTGCATGCAGGTCGGGTGCCAATGGTGCCAGTGTGAGGCAGTGGCGGGAGTGGCCTACGGCACGGAATCCATTCGTACAATCGAGTATTACAAAAAAAACCCTAGCCTGACGTTTGAAGAAGGTAGCTTGGCAATTAATCGTGAAGTCTCCCTCCAGAGTGCAGATAAAGTTGCAATATCAAATATATTCGCATTTCTGCACAAGATTCATATTCGTGGTTTCTGGGAAGTCAAGGATCAGGGCGCTGTAAACTATTCATCACCATTGTGTAATAAAATCTCAGCAATGTTATTCTGTGCTGACATTACGAAGTAATTATATGAACCTCGAGCTTCAATGTGCATAACGTAGTGGTCCTTGATTTATCGGTCTTCGACAATCGTCTCATTTATGTGCTAGTGAAAATTCAATTCATTCTCTCAATAATGACTTATATATTAAGTGATTCCATAGGAAAATGGGTAGGCTTTCGATTTCATTCCCTGAGTATCAAAACCACCCATACCTCCGATACCCAAAGAAAAATTCTTAGCTGATTACAATTAACTATAACCTTTAAATCAACACTTTCAGAAAGACCCTTTCTCTCTCTGCTTCTGGTTGCTAGCCTTATGTTTAAAACAGGATTTTGTCCATGAAAATTGCATCCCTAGAGTGTTCATCTACTCTGTAGAGGGAGGAAGAAAGGGAGGAAGAGCTTTAGAGAACAGGAATGCATATTGAATGACGGGTGGATTGATCTTGGCTTCATCAAAATAAGTGGCTCGAAAAAAGTTTTTGTGGATCCTAATGGAGCAGATGTTGACCACGGTGTAATAATGCCAACTGATATGAGTTGTTCTATGCAGTGTGGCGCAAACAAGTACCTTCCGAACATCGCCAAGGTTAAAAAATGATAAGATATTCTACCAATAATCAACTTAGCCTTATCGCGAAAGTTATCTACCAGGAATGGTTTTAATGAAAAAAGACTCCATATTCATGAGGGAATTCCTTTCCCAGCACCGTAAATCATAGTATGACGGCATCTAAATGATATTTCGTTTATCAGAAAATCTCACTCTCCCCCACCTCCCCCCCCCTCCTTTGAGAGGGAATGTGGAAATGCGCATGCTTCCGCCTATTTGTAAGAACACTAGGTTCGTTGAAATCATTCAGATCTGGTTACACGACAAGGGAACGATTTCAATTCGTCCTTGATCAGTGGCATCTAAAGGTGGGCGAGACGTCGGGCAACGAATCAAATCTGCTGCTATCAGTGGCACAGAAGTTCAATAGCAGGGCGATAACAAGGATGTTGTGAACCGATTATGAAAATAAGCAAAGTGAGCTGCACTTTCAACCGTTTTTTTGAAATTGACTGAAAAATTTGTAAAAACTATGAAAAACCACCAGAGAGCACACTCCCTGGATTCTCATCTATAGATACTGCTCAGCATATATTACACCATCATCCTGCACATCTCTCTCTGAGTTTTATTATTTTAACTTTAAAATTCGCTCATTGTATTGGCATTAAAATGTTGGTTCTTACTTTAAAAAGGGTAAGGTGACTCATACTGGAAGTTTTCGGAGTCTTTTGCTATATTGAATAGAAATCTAACAACAGAATACGTGCCTGAAGATTGGGTTGTGTTCTACTGCTTGAAAACTCAATGTTCAAAGTATGAGGTTGATGCATAATTATTGCCAATTTTTTCTTTCCCTCCTTTTCTCTCGATAAAATTAAACTTTTGAATTTGGGAATTTTGTAGAATCCCTTAATAGAAATATGCCTAGAAAGTCATCTTCATATACGCCAAATTATGCTCTATTACTTCGAGAAATGTTGGAAGGCGGCTCACTCATAACGCGATCTCAACAACTTCTCGGCGATGGAACAGTCAGCCAAAGCCGAACAAGGGATGGGATCTGCTTCTACGGTCGCTCTATACACCAGGAGATACTCCTATAGATTATCACGTCAATCGCCCTTCGAAAAATTGGTTAACGAACACAACCTTCGGCGAAGTGGATGGCTTGATGGTCAACGTCAAGGCGTGATGGCCTCCAAGAATCGAAATATCTTCGCCTGTGGAATTCGACCGCCTAGCAAATGGGAAGCAGTGCTTGAAGTAGATGGTGGATATGTTCCGGAGCAATTATTTGAACATGTCTTTGCTAGATATTTCTATCGTTTCTTCAAGTAAAATTGCTGGAAAAAATCTGCAATAATTATGCATCAACCTAATATTATATTATACTTGTGCAAGCCATCAAGAAGGTGCGTACCATCTATGTTCCGCTATTTTCAGACATTTAATACGAAAACAACTGGAAAAGGCAAAGGTACGTGAAGGCAGCATCCATGATAGGCTAAATGAAGCAGTTGCTCTTAAGCTCATTGCTAAGCTTCTGGCAACTTTTTTCCTTTGCTCATCCCCTGGTGAGCTTATTCACATCGCTCTCCGTTTAAATCAACACCCAAAAACAGCTTCGATGGAACAGCTCTCATGTAAGATGTTTATCAGAAACATTGATTTAGGAAACGAACCTCAAATTGATCTGCTGATGATGTGAAATGCCTAATATTCAAAACTCAGTGTCGATTCCAGACAGCGTCTAAAATGTTTGTTTTCCGTTGCTTCTGTCAACAGCTTCATCTTTGGTGTTATCTCTTGATATTCAAAAAGAAAAATTAACTTCCCTCTCTCCAATTGAATGCAAACTGTTGGGAAATTATGAACTAAAAGAAGCACGGAAGTCATAACCATTCTAGAGCTCGGCTGAAGGCAGTCCTATAATAAATATACATGTTACATGGTTGATTGTTGACAATAAACGGCCCCGTCAACAGTGTCTCGTCTCAATGAGCAAATGCTTAACACAGCGAGCGGATGTAATCTGAAATTGGTCTCTTTGCTTACCTACCCAGACCGTAAAGAATCACAAATCCAAACGCGCACACCATCTGTCATGATAACGATCCCGCTCATCAATTTCGAGAGAGCGATTCGATAAAAGTAGTTGACATTTAACGGCCGCCTCTTGGTCTCAGAAAAGAAAACACGAATTAGCTGACTACGCAGTGGAACATAATCGGCCAAAGCTTATAAAGGAGAAACTCTGATAAGTCAGACTTTTCGAAAGCATTACTAGATTAGGAAGGTTGAAGAAATGGGGAGTGGAAGAAAAATGGTGCGAAAAAGGATTTGAAGCA